TGAGGGAAGCTCTGCCTCCGGGAGTCGGGCTCCTCTCCTTTGGGCCACAGTGACCCTGGAGTGTGGCCGGGCGCCATCGCAGTGCTCTGCGTGCAACCCGCTGGGGTACGTGAGGGGCGTGTCCGCGCCTGCCCCTCCCCCTGAACCTCTCTGCCCGCTATTTTCCAGGGTTCTGCCTCTTTCCACTGGGTTTAGGACCTCCAGCCCGCTCAGGATCATGGCTACAGCAGACGGTGAGTCGCGCGTCCATCCCCCGCGGATCTCGCACCCCACCGCCTTCTGTCCTCCAGCCAGGAGCTGGCGGATCGGCGCGGTTCGGCTGGCTGGCGGGAAGGCCCGGGTTGGGGCAGCACGTGGGACCGGCGCTGCGAGACGTGCGCGGGAACCTCTGTAGCATATCTCCTATGTTTGTTTCTTGTGTCTACTCAGTTAAAAGTCTTATCCTGTTTAATGACTAAGTATAAAAGTTCCACTAAAGAAAGCAGAAATTACAGATTTTGCCTACTGTTTCATCTTACATACTTAAATCCATTTCTTTAAACTGGAACCATTCTTGATTCTTCACTTTTATCCTCCATTATTAAATCAGGACAGTAATCCCAATCCTGTAATCAATCCTGTAATCCCAGCTACATGGGAGTCTGAGGCAGGAGAATGAGTTCAGACTGGGGAGGTTCACTTTAGATTCTGGCAGCCATAAGAAGAGACACGGAGTCGTGAAAATATCTGAACATGATTTTATTCTCAGCTACTGAGCTCAACCGTGCGTGGTGACCCCCCAGCCCCACCATTCTCGCAGCAGCCCAGTAGAATATGCCTTTGACGACTTTGGTTATTTTTCCGGTCAGCGATGACTTTAGTTATATCTGTTATTTACATTGAGACCAACGGTGCATTTTCCTTTGTTGTTGTTGTGTTGTTCTTGTTGTTTTGAGACAGGGTCTCACTATATAGTTGAGACTGACCTGGAACTCACTATGTAGCCCAGGCTGGTCTCGAACTTGTAGTGATCCTCCTGCCTCAGCCTCCCAAGTGCTGGGATTTCAGGTGTGCGCCACCACGCCCGGCCCAACGGTGCATTTTCATCTTACTGACTTGAATTTAAGGTCCACAGGAAAACCCCACCACCACAGCCTGAAAGTGTAGCCATCTTAGGCTCTATTTTTCCTTAGAAAGGATTACAAGTTTGAGGCCAGCTTGAGCAATTTACCAAGACCTTTTATCTTAAAAAAAAAAAAAAGAGAGAGGGAGAATGTAATGAATCAGTTGTTCTTCCATCTTTGAAATGTCTTTGCACAAACCAAAATTTCCAGGGTTGCTGCAACAGCATCCTAGTTTCCCAGATTATGGTTTTGTTCCACCCACCTCTATCTCACTTTCCACAGTAGCCATACTGATCTAAAATACAGATGAGGGCCAGGTGGTGGTGGGGTGGGTTAACTCAGCAGTGCCGCTGCCTGCCTTGCAAGCGAAAGGACCCGGGACCGAAAAATAAAATACAGATCCGGCACTTTACATCAGTGTTTAAAAGCTCCATTATTGCTTTTAGGATAAAGTCTAAATTCGGTTAGCATGGCTTAGGAGGCCTAAAGGGTGAATAATGCAGTGGGAAGGAAGAAAACAGAATGTCCATCCTGAAAGAGGAACATAAAAAGTTGAGAGAGGTGGAGTTGAAGGAAGGAATAGAGTAACAGGAGTCTGAAGCATTAAGACGGGACTACATCCTGAAGAGCTTTTTAAACCTTGTTGGTCTAGACTTCCAGTTCAGAAGATAGGGATGCGTGCTGTAAATTGCGTGCCTTACAGTGCCAACTGTTATACTGGATTACAACTACTGTGAGCCGAGAGTAAAATTTAGCCTGGTTAAGAACAGAAAAATTACATTTACCTAGAGCTAATTAGGATTGGAGCCTAGGAGATGCGGGTTTAATTACCCTTGAATTGTGTTTTGAGATGCTACAAAATAGTGACTTTATATTTTTAAACTGAAGGGGGTGATAATTACACTACTCATTTGTAAGAAAGGGATTAAAGTGCAGCCTCAGTCTCTAGGTAGTTTGGGGGAGGGGTCCCCAAATCCCTGGGCCTTGGGCCAGAAGCTTGTGGTCTCAAGAATTTGGCCCACATCTGGAGGTAAGCAAGCTGAGTAAGCCAGCTTCCTCTGTATTCACAGCCCCTGCCATCAAGCTCCGCCTCTCAGATCATCTTTAGACATTAAAAGTGCAAAAGAACTGTTTCTTTAAGTCTTGTGACCAGCATCAAAATTAAGATTCTTGTGACCAGCATCAAAATTAGATACTTACATGCTCACTGCTCAAATCCTGTTAACCACCTGTGTTAATGAAGAAAAAAAAGTTAATGGGAGAGGGGCTTACAAACCGAAGAGGCTGATTTAAAGTGAATAGTGGAGGGCTAGGGATTTAGTTCAGTGGTGCCTCACCCACCTTGCAAGCTCAAGGTTCTGAGTTCAAGCTCCAGTATTGAGGGGGGTAAAAAAAAAAAAAGTAAATGGGAGGGCCTCTGTTTACACAGTAATAGGAAACCCATCTGGTTTTAACATTTCACCTGCCTTGGAAAACAAAAGTCAGGGAAAATACTAAACCATGTTACCTTGTGGGCCAGTTTAGGTAATGTGGCCATGTGTACAAAAATAATAGTATAATTTCATTAGTTTTATCTTAAATTCTATTTTAGTTCAGCAGTAAGAGAGACACTGATAGTGGAAAGAGCATGAGGTTGGCTATTAGATTTAGTATTTTGTCTAGCTCTATGACCTGAACCTTAATTCTTAGTTTCCTAATCACTATAATTGACAATTATGTGATGAGGCATGAGAAAATAGCTTGAGGAGAGTAAGTTCTATGCAGATGATTTAATTTTTATTAGTCACTTTGTGATTCATCATTTGAGTTGATTTAATCTTCAATGCTCAGGAAATTTCTCCCTGAAATATAATAAATTCCATTTTATTTTCACAGTATTGAACATTGGCAAAAAACTCTATGAGGGTAAAACAAAAGAAGTCTATGAATTATTAGATACTCCAGGAAAAGTCCTCCTGCAGTCCAAAGACCAGATAACAGCAGGAAATGCAGCCAGAAAGAATCACCTGGAAGGAAAAGCTGCAATCTCCAATAAGATTACCAGTTGTATTTTTCAGCTGTTACAGGAAGCAGGTAAGTAGCTTCCTCCTACCTCCTTGTCCTCTCTCCTATATATGCTGAACCCTTTCGTGGGGAGATGGTGTTACTTGGATTAACAGTTTACATGCTCAAGCCTTACTGCAGTATGACATTTTACTTGGTTTTGAATTAATTGTCTCATTTGGTTCTTTTGTAATCGGCTGCAACCTTGCTTAGGGATCCCCTTTGCAGCTTTCCTCTCAGTTTTCTGTAGTCCTACCCGGAATCTTAACTATGAAGAAAACCCATCATAATGTTGAGCAGTTCTAGTAAATGAACTAAAATTATTCCCTAAAATGCTATACAATTATATATTAAATTTCAAAAAGAATTCCCAATTAATTATAGAAGACAGATTAGCAATTCCATCAAGCCTCATATAATCATCACTTGCTAATAAATAAAACAATCTCTGTAAAACTAACCTTGACAGGAATTGAGTTTTGGCCAGGGATGTAGTTCAGCACAATCATCAGGACTTCCAAAAACATTATTACCATAATTTGATTGTGTGCTTGGTTCCCTGTGGTTTGGAGAAAAGGTTTTCCTCCCAGTAACAGTAACTATGAAACAGGTACGATAGCACACATGTAATCCCAGCTCTTGAAGAGCCTGAGGCAGGAGGATTGCAACTTTGAACCAGTCTAGGCAACATAGTAAGACCCTATTAAAAAAAAAAAAACTAAAAGAGCCAGGTACATAGCTCAGTGTTCCCTGGGTTCGGTTCTTAGGACTAGCAAACAACAACAACAAAAAAAGAACTTGTTTATATTTAAACAATGGGATACTAGTCTGTCAAGCATGGTAGAAAAATAAGCAAATATGACTAACAGTTAACACACCTGAGAAGTAAGATTTCATGAAGCCACACATGTAGTTACTGTCCCAAGTTAGGAATTGATTTTAGTCATCTACTTGCTCAGTCATCTCACTCTCCATTTCCAGAACATTTTCATCCCAATCAAATTCTATACTGATAAACAGTAGCTATCCATTCTTCCTTCCCTGAGGCTCCTAGTAACTTCTGTTTTATTTTCTTTCCCTAGAATTTGCCTGTTCTAAGTATCTGATACATAAGTGGAATAACTGTTTCTGATTTATTTCACTTGAGAATTTTCAAGGTTCAACCATATAAAATTAATGGGAGGAGGGAGAGGATTGACCGCCCCACCCCAGACAGGTTTCACTAAATTGCCCTGGCTACACTAAAATTTGTAATTCTCTTGCTTCATTGCTACAGTTACAAACTTGCACCACCATGTATAACTCCATTAGCTGGATTATCTAATATGTATTTATCCTACATTTGTGAAAGAGACCAGCTTGAAATATTATTGAATTGGCTTATAATTTGGCTGTTGATTAAAATTATTAGTCAATCCAACGCATATGTGTGATTTGCTAGAGGAGACTTCAGCTGGCTTACAGAGATAAAATTCCCTGTGCCAACGGTTACAATTGAGATCTCAATGATGAGATTGTGATGTCTCTAATAGCAAGATGACATGGCATCTGAGGATTTCTGACTGTGTAGCCATTCTCCCAGATCAAACGTTAGCTAAAGATAACAAGTGGCTTGTTAGTTATGACCTGTCCTTCACAAAAATAACGTCATTCCTCCTCTTCCCAATCCTGGCTCAGTAGTGTTTTAGTCTTGCTGTTCCTTATATCTGCCTTTACCCCCCTACTATGTTGTGTAAACAAAACTATGGACACATCCAAGAATCTTGGTCTTAAACCAGAAGAGAGCTAAGATCTAGTGAACTTAGCCAGGAGAGAGCTAAGCTCAGATCCTGGCCCCCCAAATAATAAACTTTATTCTTTGCTCTTTGCATATTATTTCATCCTCTTGAGCATCCCCTGATAATTGTTTTATCTGTTAATGTTTGTGTTGTTCTCCTTTTTTGGCTATTATGAATAATACTGCTGTGAGTACTGGTGTATAAGTGTCTGAGTCCTTGCTTTTTAGAAGTAGCATTGCTTCTTCATTAGTTTCAGAACTAGAAAATTGCAAATAAATAAACTACAGCCTTCGATGCATACTATAGGTCTCCTTAATTCTACAAATCCATAACCCAAAAAGGTTTTTAAGTTCTTAACAGATCTCTTGTATCTCAATATTTTTAAACCGTGGATCTATATACATCTTATCTTGCTCAAATTTTCTCAACTTAAACTATTGTTCCATACCAAAAAATACAATGTAACTTTTTCTTACATAAGATTTTACTGGTTGGAAATTTTGATCATTAGAATTACATGAAATCAGATGATTTGCCTGCTAAACTTATTTAGACTCTGAGCTTCTTAAAGCCTTCTAGCCTTTATATTAATCGTATATAACATTAAATATAGTTTTTTTTAAATTTAGAAACATACAATGTGATATCAAATAATCGTTAAATGCTTATTTTAAATCTATGTAGTACATTAATGTCATATTTATCATTTTTTTAAATCCAGAAATTAAAAAGTAGATTGTCTGAAGGGTTATTTTGAAAATAGAAAAACAACTTAAATTACTAATGTATCTAAACCTCAGTAGAAGCTTTTTTGGGGATCTCCTTCACTGCTATTGACAAAGAAGCAAGATGATAGGTTTATTTTGTGAAGGGGATTATGTGTGGAATTTTTAAATGAGAAAAGTTTTAATGAAATTTTGATGTTTTATTCCACCTGAATTTCTTTGAATAACCTTTTTAAAAGTTTTTTAAGGCTTTATAATTTTTCTACGTTTACAACTTTTTTCCATGAACTGTCAAATTAGTGAATAATGAATACTTTCCAAATATTTAGGTACTTAATGTTTGAAAAGCCATAAATGAAGAGTGGTAATACTAACATAAAAAGAGTGGTAATACTAACAATTGCTTAAAATTTAAAGCTAAAAGTTATCAATAGTGTATATAACAAACATGTTTTCTGGGGAGATGTAAATCTGGTAACCGAAGGTAGAAAGTTCATATAATTTTTCCCCAGTAAATACATAAAAAAGCTATAGTTTGTTACTATTACATTTCCAGAATACAGTAGAGCCTTTAACACAATGTATTATAACTTGAAATTTGTCCTGAGTCCCACTCGTCAAAAAACTGTAGTCACCAGAATGACCCCAGTGTCTGTTACATTGATGTAGTGTAAATTCTGAAGACCTCATTGTGCCAGTACATTACTAGAATATTCATTGAGAGATGGCCAGTGCTAGAACTTGAGTCATAAGTAATAGCTAATAACATTTTAGATCTCAAAAGAGAGGTCATTTGGACAGCTGTGTATAAAATGGAAAAATTACTAGTTTACATGAATGGTTCAGACTTTGCTGTACCAAAGTCAAGTAGTAACTAAAATTAGAATCTTAATTTTTTGTGGTAAAAGGTCCAAGGCTCATTTAATTACGTTTGTATAAGATTTTGTATCCAGGTTTTTCACTATTTCCAGTTTTTGAGAATGTAAGCAGCTGATATATTTATTGTATTATAGGTCAACAATTCATCTTTCTGCCAGATGTACATTTAGAGGAATGTGAAGTTGTTTGAATGAAAATTTAAACCATTTGTGTCATTGTGTGTTTTCACCACCTTATGATTTTGAACCTATTTTTCCATCGTTGACTTGTACCAATACTTTGCCTTTATGTTTATTTGTTTTGTTTTGTTTTTTTGGGTACCAGGGATCGAATTCGGGACCTTGTGCTTGCAAGGCAGGCAGAGGAACCACTGAGCTAAATCCCCAGCCATCAATACTTACACTTTCCTTATAAAGTTGGTGATGGGATTTGTCAGTTCAATTTTTGGAAAAAAAAAAATACTAGTATGACTTTCATTAATATTTTTACAGTTTTCAGAATTAGAGATGCAGTTAGGCAGATGACTTATTTATGTGTCTGTAGTAGTGTACCATGAGAAAGAAGCAAAATATAAAACATTAGTTAATTAAGTATTTATTAAAAATTTTACTTTTGACTATATTATGAATTTAACTGAAGTAAAATGTGAGTTGTATATTTTTAAAAAGTAGCAGCATTGCTACTGGGTCATGATGTAATGGAACTATTATAAGAGAGGTTGTTGTCCAAAGTTATCCCATCATGTAGTTTCCATACTAAATACTACATCAGATCTTTATCTTAGTTATCCAGTAACACTGCGTAAGAAAAGGGGTAGAAGGATAAATATTTACTGCTATTGGCCAAAGCTGCTGCTGTGTTCTTGCTACTACCTGATGGGTGTTTCCCCCGCCAAAGGATTGTTTTAGACAGTAAAAGAGGCTTAGGTGGCTGCAGTTGTGGTTCAGTGAGAGTGCTTGCCTACCCTGCACAAGGCCCTAGGTTTGATCTGTAACATCACCAAAAACAAGGGATGGGAATGTATCACAGTTGTAGAGCACTTGTCTATCTTGAGACCCTGAGTGGGTCTGCTCCCAGTACAACAAAAATATTTTCTTCCTATTTTCTCTGTTTAAAAATTACATTTATTCTTGCTAGAGGTTTTTGTTTGTCTTGTAGAGTTTTGTTGTGCTGTGATCTACCTTCTTAAGTAAGAAGATCTCAATGCTTTTTAACTTTTGCATTCAATATATAGGTATCAAAACGGCTTTCACCAGAAAATGTGGAGAGACAGCTTTCATTGCTCCCCAGTGTGAAATGATTCCAATTGAATGGGTTTGCAGAAGAATAGCAACTGGTTCTTTTCTCAAAAGAAATCCTGGTGTCAAGGAAGGATTTAAGTTTTACCCACCTAAAGTGGAACTATTTTTCAAGGTAATTATTTTATGTTTCTATGTCCTACTCTAATGTAGCAGCAAACTTTTTTTTGGTACCAGGGATCAAACTCAGGACCTTGCATTTGCAAGGCAGGTGGCAGTACCACTGCACTAAATCCCTGACTGCAGCAAACTTTTAATTACAAAGCCAGAAGATTTAAACATCTGAGTATTTGGTACTACAAATGTTACTCTTGAAATTTATGTCAGTAAAGCATATTTCCATTAACAATGATAGTGAGAGTTTTTAAATATCTGTGAAAATGTACTTACCTTTTCTGTTAGTTACTTTCCTCTGTTGCTGAGACAAAATACCCACCACCCAAAGATAAAGGGAAAGAAAGGTTTATTTGATTTACAGTTCATAGAGGTGTCAGTCCATATCAGTTGGCTCTAAGGCAAGGTGGCAGAGGAGAAACAGTTCATAATGACAGAAGACAGCAAAATCAACATGAGGCCTTAACAGTGACTTCCTGACCCTTTTATTTCATCCAGGGTACCTGGATTAGGGTGGTGCCAAACCAGTCACTCACTGGTAACTGCAGTAACCACAACCCTTATCCTCAGCATCACATATTCCAAATTCAACTACCTCTAAAAAAAACACCCCACCATAGGGGCCGGGGATTTAGCTCAGTGGTTTGGTGGCCTGCCTTGCAAGTGCAAGGACCCGAGTTCAATCCCCGGTACCAAAAAAAAAAAAAAAAAAAGTTGTGCAGTTGAAATCTTTCTGTAGCCTAATAGAGGAAAATGTACTATCATTATCTCTGAAAACAAAGATATATGCCATAAGAATAAATAATTTTGAATTTTTACAGTCTATGTTCAAATTGTTTTACTCCATCTTGATTTATGATATTATGCATAGATCTTCTTTGAAAGCAATGGCAGTCCCAGCACTTGGGAGGCTGAGTCAGAAGGATTGCTGTGAGTTCAAGGCCAGCCTGGGCTACATAGTGAGTTTGAGTCCAGCCTTAACTAATAAACAGCAAGACCTTGTCTCAAAAATCTTAAGAAAAGGTGGTGGGGCTGGGGATTTAGCTCAGAGGCACCTGAGCCTGCCTTGTAAGCACAAGGTCCTGAGTTCAATCCCTGGTATCAAAAACAATAAAGCAAGCAGTGATAGTTTGGCATTTTTAAACAGTGCGTTGCATAATTTATATTATATAAATCAAGATCCATTAAATCATAAAATTGGGACAGTGCTTAAAATAGTTGCTTTTCATTAACATTTTTGTTTGAGATCTTTTCAATTATCAAATGGTGTCCCTAAAGATTTGTATTCCTGTTGGACATGGTGGCGCATGCTTGCAATCCAGTACTTGGGAAGTTGAGGTAGGAGGATTGCTTTGAGTTTGAAGCCATCCTGTACCACCTAGCCTCTTGTCTCAAGGGCAAAAAAAATTAAAGATTTGTATTCCTATAAAAGTTCTTATTGGCCAGGGATTTGGCTCAGTGGTTCTGCCCCCTGCCTCACAAGTGCAAGGGCCCGAGTTTGATCCCCAGTACCAAGAAAAAAGTTCTCATCAAAAATGAGGTCATGAGGTTGTAAAAACTAATTTTTGGAAAGATTGGATAGATTGAAATGTGTTTTGGCCTTCCTGTTGTTTGTGGAAGATGTTAGTTTTTCTGAAAAGTTCAAAAATTCTAGATGTAAATTAATTGTACTACTGTATTTTATTCTCAGGATGATGCTAATAATGATCCTCAATGGTCTGAGGAACAGCTAATTGCTGCAAAATTTTGCTTTGCTGGACTTGTTATAGGCCAAACTGAAGTGGATATCATGAGTCATGCTACACAAACTATTTTTGAAATACTGGAGAAATCTTGGTTGACCCAGAACTGTACACTGGTTGATATGAAGGTACAGATGAAACAAAGAATTTGAAAGTAAAGATTATAACTGAGAAACATTGTTAATAGTATAATTTTCTTAAGTTTTTCTTTGATAATATGCTGTTTCTAGATTGAATTTGGCGTTGATGTGACCACCAAAGAAATTGTTCTTGCTGATGTTATAGATAATGATTCCTGGAGACTCTGGCCATCGGGAGATCGAAGCCAGCAGAAAGACAAACAGGTCAGTAAACAGCTGTGGCAGCACTCGCCTATAGTCCAAGCTACTCAAGAGGCAGGATGATGGAAAATTTAGGGCCATCCTAGGTAGTTAGATTTTATCGCTTTTTTTGGTACTGGGGATCAAACTTCGTTCCTTGGGCTTGTGAGGTAGGTGCCAGAACCAATGAGCTAAATCCCCAGCCCTTTTTAATATTGTCATAGATTCTCATAACAATAACACAGCAAATATTATCTTTGTTTCGCTGAAAACTAAGGTTCTAAGAGGATAAGTGTTCACAATTAGAGGAGTAAGTGGCAGATTTGGGACTTTACACCACGTCTTCCAAATTTCACCAGGCCCCATATCTGTTTTTTCTTAACAAAATTAGGGCAAGATCCTCTTTATATTCAATAAATAAAAATTCTCAAGGCAGCTAATTGTTAACTATAGAAAGCAATTCACCTTGCATGAAAATAAAATTTTGCCTCACTACTGTATTTATCTCTAGTTCAGGAAATGGATTTGAAGACTGAGGTGCATGTTTAGATATGTCGCTTGTTGTCCCTATTCAAGTCAAAAACCAGTTTTGGATAGCAAAAAATACTTTGTTTTCTAAACTTTATATCTCATTTTCTAGTCTTACCGTGACCTCAAGGAAGTAACCCCTGAAGGGCTCCAGATGGTAAAGAAAAACTTTGAGTGGGTTGCAGAGAGAGTAGAGGTAATCCTTCTTTAGTGAACCTGTATTGTGTTTTTCTTCTAAGAAAATCTTGTTTCAAACTAAAATCTGGGAAGGAATAGTGCTTCTCATTTACTTTTTACTGGTATAATGGAATTCCCATTAAGTTGGCCAGTGTACTCCTCCCAGATCCTGGTGGCTAGACCTGGGGTCCTGTCTCCTCCCTGGCCCAGTAGGAGAAACTGTTTCCTACCCACCTCTTTGCTGCTATTCAGTTCCTATAGCATGGAATGGGTGGGACTCCATGTAACATTTTTCATTTCATTTTTCACTTCTATGATGCTGGAGATGGAACCCAGACCCTCATGAATGCTAGACGAGTGCTCTACCACTGAGCTACATCCCCCACCTTTCATTATATTAGAAAAAACGCATAATTTATCTTCCACCCAAGTCCTAACCAGGTGTGACCTTGCTTATCTTCTGAAATAGGTAAAAGCAGGCACGTTCAGTGTAATATGGCTATAGACAGGTAAATTTTAATTTATCTGATTAAAAATCTCATCTGTTACATTTTAATTATGCTTGTTTAGTTTTGGTGCCAGGGATCAAACTGAGGACCTTGCGCTTGCGAGGCAGGCGTGGCACCAGTGAGCTACATCCCTGGCCCTGTTAGATTTAATTATGAAGATCACATCTAGAAGTTATTTAAGAACCACCTACGTTTTATTCTGTTTGTCTTTTAAATAGGATGTATGAAGGAAGAAAATACTCTGTCTGGAAGTAATTTTACTGCAATACCTCTGAGAATTGATTGTTCTTATGGTACTTATTCCTATATTTATTCATTTTTGTCTTTATCATATCCATGTTTTTCTTTTCCAGTTGCTTCTGAAATCAGAAAGCCAGTGCAGGGTTGTAGTATTGATGGGATCAACTTCTGATCTTGGTCACTGTGAAAAAATCAAGAAAGCTTGTGGAAATTATGGAATTCCCTGTGAACTTCGAGTAACATCTGCCCATAAAGGCCCAGATGAAACTTTTAGGATTAAAGCTGAATATGAAGGTAAACTTCATCTAACTAGAATAATTTGGGTATTTCTGATTTTGCCCCCAAAAATTATGTATTATAGACTTGACTGCTGAAAAGAGCTTTTCCATATTTCTGAGAGGAAACTATGAGATGCACTCTCATGATCTGACCTTCAAAAAGCATAAGATGCTACTAGTAGCTTATAAAAGAAAGTAGGGGAAAAGAACTGAAAGCACAAGGATAGAGGGAAACATTAAAAGTGTGAGAACCTCTGGTTCTTTACCTAGTAAATACCCCTTTTAGCATTGTTTCTAATTTGCTCCAGCACAAAATAAGCCTCATATCAGTTACAGGATGCCCAAAGTTGCAACAGCAGATCCTCTCTGGGATCTTTAATAGCCCAGCCTTTCGTGGGTGGCAGTCAAACATGAAATTAGGTCAATTTCAGAATGTAGCACATAAGAACAAGATAGCACTGATCTAAAATACCAGAACCCTGGGTTCACAGCCAGGTACGTGCCTCTCAAATGGAGGATGACTGACAATACTCTAAAGGTGATTGCTACAGGAGTATAGTTACTACTTTAGGGGTAGATTAGGATTGAATTTCAGACCCGCATAATAAGCTAATGAAAGCTACAACTTCTCTTGCTAAGCTGCTCCTCCAGCCCCTGTATACCATTAAATTTGCCTTCAAATCATGTTTCAAGAAGTGCCTGTAAACCTCCAGTCACTATTAAATAGTCTCTATTTCAGAGACTGCTTAGCAGAAAAGACGTGTTCAGTAGTTGTCATTCTTCATTTTTGTGAACCTTGTATTTTGAAATTATATATAATAGTATATTTTTAATGCTTTTTTCACAGAAGACTACTCAAAGGTTTAAGACGTAGATGCTTTTTTAAACATATCTTGCAGTCCTTTGTAATGTTTAATCCAATGATAATCTTGTCATTTCCCTAGGGGATGGCATTCCAACTGTGTTTGTGGCAGTAGCAGGCAGAAGCAATGGTTTAGGCCCAGTGATGGCTGGTAACACTGCATATCCAGTGATCAGCTGTCCTCCCCTCACGTCAGACTGGGGAGCTCAGGATGTGTGGTCCTCTCTTCGACTACCCAGTGGTAAGATACACTGATGTTTTTTATTTTTTTTGATAAATGAGTCTCGCTATGTAGTTCAGGCTGACCTTGAACTCACTATTCCAAGCTGGTCTTGAACTTACAGCGATCTTCTTACCTCAGCCTTCTGGGTGCTGGGACTACAGGTGAGCACCACCATGTCTGGCCCACACTGACTTTTTTTTAACTGCTTATTACAAAAATTTCAAACATACACAACAGTATGTAGACTAGTATAATGAAATCTCATGTACTCATTAACCGGCCTTACTAATTACTATGTTGTTTTATTTGTAGTCCCTTCTGCCAAATTATTCTAAAGCAGATTTTAGATATTGTGATATTTTATACTTAAATACTGAAGTATGCATCTCTAAGTTTTTCTTAAATCATAATCTTGATACTGTATTCACCACCCAAAAAAATGGTACCGTGTCTGACTCGCAAGTGCAAGGTCCTGAGTTCAGTCAGTACCGCAAAAAAAAAAAAAGTAATAATGTCTAAAAATACCTTATTTCTAGTTGATGTTCATTTATGTTCAGTTGTCTCACTTTTTTGTAATTAGTATTTTTAAATTGAGATTCAACCCAGTCCTTACATTCATTTTGTCAATATCTTTTCAGTCTTATTTAATCTGTAAAACTTCACTTTTTTTCTTTTATTTTTCTTGTAGAGTTTTCCACATTGGTTTATTACATTCCTAGATGATGGTAAACATGCTCTTCCATCCCCTGTATTTTCTATAAGCACCATGGTTTTAAGATTTGTACAGTAGTAAAATCAAGTTCAGATTTTTTTTTTTTTCCAAGAATACGTTGTTAGGTGCACATCTGTAATCCCAGCACTTGGAGGGCTAAGGCAGGAGGATCTCTTGGAGTTTGAGGCCAGCTTGAATTACTGTACATAGTGTGACCCTGTCTCAAAAAAACACCAAAAGAAAAAAAAAAAGAATATACTATTAGTGGTATTGAGTTTTAAACAAAACTGATTACTTCAGAAAAAAATTAATTTTAAATATTGAGGACAAAAGTAATTAACGTAAAAGAAAGTCATCTTTGGTCTGATGCAGCTGGGTCTCATATCAGTATTATAGTGTGTTCATCAAAATCTAAGGTATAATCTGATGTTTTGCAAGTTCTGAGAGTCAATATTATTTCATTAGGAGCTGATTGCCTTATTTCTAAAACCTCAGACTTTTCTCAGTTGTGTAAATCTTTGACATATATCAAATACATTAAGTACCTGAGACCTGTGATGTGTTTCAGAATAGACTGGCCTTCTGCACCACTGGTGTCTTAGGATCTGCCTCCAGTGTCATTTTGGAAATAACGTTTTGCCTTTCTTTACTCTTAGATCTCCAGTTTCCTAGTTCCCCTGTGTTTCCCTGTTTTGGTTTCCTTCTTACTTTGTTGGAGCACATTCTTTGTTAATTTCCTGAGGAAAGAGTACAAAATGTAAACCTTGAGATCTTATATATCTGAAATGTTCTAATTGGAACTCCACACTTATTTGATAGTTTTAGGAATACAATTATAGGTTGAAAATTGTTCTCCCATAGAATTATGAGAGCAACTCCACTGCCTTTGTGCCATTCCAATTCTACGTCTTTTAAGAATTTTGTTTCCTTCTGGAAACTTTCACGATGTTTTAGTATCTTCATTGTTATTAAATTTCTCAGATGTACCTTGGTCTGTTTTTACTGTGGACTTTATAGGTTCTTTTAATATGATACTTTAATTCTTTAGTCATGGAGAATGCTTTAATTTTCTTACCCCTCCATTTTCTCTCCTCATTTGGGTTATTCAGACTTGGCTTTCCTTGATTGCTAGCCCATTTTCCTTCTGTTACAATGCTTTCTGGAATATTTTCCTCAGTTTTACATTCCAACCCTTCTATTGAATTTAGCATTTGAATACAGTATATTTACATTTCCAAAAGCCCTATTTTCTCTGAAATTTTTTTCTATACTATATTTGTTTAATCTTTGCAGTAACACCTTTTTCTAAACTTAGTATAGTCTTATTATTTCTTTTCTCAACTCTCAGGTAATTAATTCAGTTTTACTGGGGTACTGTAGAAAGCTCATTGGAAACGGCTTTGTGTGAGGTGATCTTATGGAGTTGTTTTTTGAATAATCCCTCACCTCCCATCAGTGTCAAGGCCTTTTCTCAGGTATTATCCAAAATCACCAGAGAATTTTTGCCTTAGGTTCCTGCTAGCTGAACAGATCTGGCTGCCAGATTCCTCGGAAGCTTAGACGGAGAGGCTGAGTATCTCAGAGTAGGCCTATAAATGTAAGCTACTTTCATGGTGGCATTCCTTGTCTCTGCTGTGCCTGGTGTCCCCCAGTCCGGAGAAATCTGAAGTCTTTTTCATCTTGAGATAAATTGAAAACTATGCTGTGGTCTTTTTTGGGGGGGTACCAGAGATAGAACTAGGGCCCTTGCACTTGCAAGGCAGGCAGTGGAACCACTGAGCCAAATCCCTGGCCCTGCTCTGGTCTTTTTAAAAGTACTGTTGATCAAGTGAGGTGGGAAGTTGGTTCTTACGCTTTTATCAGTCAGTCCTTTTCTTTGTAGTGCCACTTTCACTCCCACTACTCTGCTAAGCTGATGCTACCTCATTTGCCTTTTGGCTGTCAAAATGCTATTGCTATTATATCGTTGTCTTTGTATGTTTATGCCTGTTTTCTTTATTTCCTTTACTCTTGGTTTTATGTGACTCCAGAGATAAATCTTGTGCTTAACGAATGCATCTTTAACTAGATCCTTGACTAAACATTCTACTATAAATTATTAAATCTTTAAAAACCTGTAGCTATGGCTGGGGATTTAGTTTAGTGGTTCTGCTGCCTGCCTCTCAAGCACAAGGACCTGAGTTTGATCCCCCGTACCAATAAATAAATACATACATACATACATACATACATACATAACCTGTAGCTATAAAGCTATTAACCAGTTTTACAACAGAGGAACTATATAGTTATTATCCATTAGATTTTGAAAAGGAGAAATGAACAAAAGTTGGGCAGCAATTTTTTTCTATTAGTGTGCAAGGGGAGAGAAAAATCTGGGAAATTTGTATGTTGTCACTCAAATTGGAGGGTAATGCTTTGAAGAATGATTTTACAGTGGCCCATATGAAATCCTAGACTTTGTCTGACACCTGCTTACTAGGAAAGGAGTCCTGGGCAGTAGTCATATATATTTCAGGTGTTAAGAGTAGAGCACTCTATCCAGTATGCAAATACTTATGCTTCACTCATTAAATACTTTAGCCAGACAGTTCCCCAAGCACACATTCATAACTCAAAAGGAAGCTACTAATTATCCTCTTTCTATAGACAAGGATATGAAAATTAACATTAAGCAACTTGGCCAGTGCCGCATTGTGACAACTTATTTATTTATTCATACAAATTTGTATTAACATGAATTGTAAATTGGTATTTTTCAGTGCTAGGGATCAAACCTAGGGCCTTATGCATGTTAGGCAAGTGCTATACCACTGAGCTCTTTCCCCAGCCTGTACTTTATTCTGTTTTTATTGTGAATAGAGCTAGAATAGTCAAGCATTTGAGGAAGTACATGCCTGTACTCTTGGAGGCTGAATCAGGATTTCAAGTTCAAGTCCTGCTGGTGCAACTTAATGATTTAGCAAGACTCTGTCTCAAAAACCTTTAAAAAGAGCTGGGGATGTTGAGTGCGAAGGCCCTGGATTCAATCCCCAGTACTGCAAAAAATAAAGCATGATGAACGCCAAAAAAATAGGAAAACTGGAGCTTTTGAATCTGTAAAGTAGGCAGTAGTCCTTGACTCCAGTAATATTACACATGATAGTGCCATCTCAAGAAACTGCCTGAGCAGACTTACAATTCCCAAGGCCCTTAACTTTCTTTTGCTCCTGCCTTGTAGATCTTAAAATTGTTCTTGTAGATTTTAAATTATTCTTTGGAATTGACTTTTTTTTTTTACTGCTTAAAAATGTTTCAATAATTCAAATGAAAATACAAAAAGATTAGCTAGAAAATTATCAAAACAACATATTTCAGAATAAGTGCTTCTGTTTGCCTTGTCCTTGTTTTACTCCATGGCCCGTCACTCCCTAGTGACAAAGAAAAAGTATGTGTGATAAAGAAATAGTATGTGTGAAAAGTTTAAAAAAGTAAATCTCTATGCAAGTAGATTCACTAAGAATGATAGATAATACATATAAAGTCTCTTCCTGGCAGATAAATACTATGTTTCCTCATACAGTCACATTGCTACTTCAACATTAAACCATTCTGTAGATCCTATTTTAGATAAGCTACTATATTAGTATGGTAGCTTTTTATAGTCTGTAGCAACAGGTCTTTTCTATGTTTGGTTGTTTTGCACTGCTGGGGATTAAATCTCAGGCCTCATGAATGCTAGGCAAGTGTTCTAGCACTAAGGTAGATCCTTTGCCCCTGTTATTTTTTTCATTATTAACTGACAGCTTAATTTCCTCTTTTCCTTTCCAAACCAATAGGTCTTGGCTGTTCCACCATACTTTCTCCTGAAGGATCAGCTCAGTTTGCTGCTCAGATATTTGGATTAAACAATCACTTGGTATGGGCCAAACTGCGAGCAAGTATATTGAACACATGGATTTCCTTGAAGCAGGCTGACAAGAAAATCAGAGAATGTAATTTCTAAAAATGTTATTGGGGGGGTGTACACATTCTGGTTTAGCTGCAGAAAAATAAGCAAAGTAGAAAAAATAATTTTGAATCAGAAAATTGATACATGAATAAATGCTTCTCTAGATAACGTGGATTAGAATGTGTTTGTATTTAATATTTCTCTATAGGCAGTAAAATTAATATAAGAACATTTTAAGATTACTTTTTTTCTACCCACTGTATAATCCTTGTTCAGTAGGTAACATAATCCAAAAAACACATTTTATGAATGCCAATAAGATCCTATTATAAAGCTCTAAAGTTATAACTTGACCTGCTATATCTCAACCAGTAAGTTTTAGAAGGATAAAATGGTTATTATATCTTAGGTGATAAGAGCAATATAATCCTCATTCATTTTATGGTCTTTACAAATTCTAAGGGCATGGTTTTGGTTTTTGTTTTAATAGTCACTATCTCAGAAAATAGTGTGTATTTATATTATCTCTAGCTAGGTATAACAACCCATATACAGTCCAGGCTACTTTCAAACTCAGTCTTCCTGCCTCATTCTCCCTAATGCTATTATAGGTATGTGTCACCACGCCAGGCTTTGTCTTTTTTTCTTTAGTAAGGAAAGTTGAGATTGATGCTAGGGGTAGGGGAAAACACATAAAATAAGACAAAGGGTCACTATGGAAGCCACCTAGTATCAAGTATTAATGCCAATGAGTTCATCTAAGAACCTGTAAAATCACAGAATATAAAGAAGTTCTGGTTCATTTTTAAAAGAAGGGGCAATCAATTTTCTCCAGAGGGTTGTATCCCCTAAAATATTAAAAACCTCTGCTACAGATGAAATCTTGATAATGCTTTCCCTCTGGCCTACACTGTATTTTCTAACCTCTTAACGGTTAATAAGCTGCCATCTCTTACAACTTGTTTCATCTGATCCACCTGGGATATGTTGCCTAACCACTCCTTTCTTGAGCTAACACTAAGATAGTCCACCCTTACTCTTGGTCATTTCTTTTAACCTATTCCCTGACGTATTGGTTATTTCTTAGTTTCTCTCATTTATTAATAGAGTGGGTAATGTTAATAAAATTTCCAACTGGCTTCTGAACATATTTTTTTTCTGTATCTGTCCGCCCCATAGGCACTTGTATAAAAACCAGAATGCTTGCAACTTAATTCATATTCACCAAGCCTAGAACTAGTCACTGTCCCAAGTCAGAAAGGATTTCATCCTTTATGTTCCTTTTTAACCTTTTACATCTCACTGAGCAACAAGTTGTGGCTATCAGTTTCAATTTCTGCTTAACCTTTGAATTTTAACTTATTCTCTTATCCTCCATATGGGATCCTCAAATGCGAGTCAGATGCAGTACTAGCCTGATCCTTAGACGGTCCTCGAGCAACCCAGTCTTTTCTAGGTGATTGCCCAGACTTCCAAAATTTCTTTCTTTTTTTTTTTTTTTTTTTGCCATAGACCCTTCTGAAAATATTAATCCTGATGACCTCTTTAGGAACTTGCACACACAAAATTGATTCTTGGGTTCCCTTGAATCCTACTATGGTCTGTAGGTTAAGATGCACTGGTGTGTGCCAGACAGGGTGGTGCACACCTGTAATCCCAGCACTCAGGAGGTTGAGACAGGAATATCGAGCTTTTTGAGACCAGCCTAGGCTGATGATTCCAGGTCAGCCTGAACTTCATAGCAAGACCCTGTCTCCAAAACCCTAAAAATAAAAAGAATCACTGATGTGACCTGTCAAGGGAACCTGTTTCCTCATAATCCTTGGACTGCCATATATTTATACGTTTATTTCTTTGAAGGACTTCATTTTACCATTACCATTTACTATTTGTTAGATAGTGGAGCTTTATTTCCATAAAACCTTTCATAACCACAATTGCTCTTAAATTGTAAGTTCCAAGAAGAGAAAAATGTAATTTACACTTGATTTCCCATACACTGTTACACTCTGATGTACTATGCCTAACTGCTAGAGATTGGAGAATTGTAATTTTCTATTTTATGCTAATTTGCAAGGCTGGCTTATGTGCTATGGCAGAACAATTACGAGACTTAAACAATTTTAACATCTTTCAAGTTTGGGTGTCTGGTCTCTGAGTAGTGACTATTCAAGTGATTCATCCTCTTCTGTCTACCCATTTAGGTAGCAATGATTCTACCTAATTCTGTGAAGTACATGAAAAAGTTTTAAGTTTAGGGCTGGGGATTTAGGTCACTGGTTCTACTCCCTGCCTCATAAGTGCAAGGTCCTGAGTTTGATCCTCAGTACCAAAAAAAAGGTTTTAAATTTAATTTAGACTGGTGGATAGGACTTAACACTATCATGGTCAATATCAGTTTTAACCTCAGCATCTTAGTACAGTACAGATATCGTCAGTAGTTTAATTCATTGATGCTAGAGTACTTGAAAGCATTTACTCATTACATTTCCTGTAAGAAGTCACCTTACACAACATCTAATTTGTCACGTGGGTGATTATACTTTCTATGAGCTTAAAGGTGAACACAAAAATGGGAAAAATTGTCCAAATAACGCAGTTTTTAAGCTTTTATCATAAAGACATTCTTAGATTTGCTGCTTTTAAAAACAGCTTCTGAAATTACAAAGGTTATGACAATAAGTTAGTTAATATACGTAAAATGTATCTTGGCTTATGAATGTATTACATAATGTGACTTAAGAGGTTTTTTTTTGTTTTGTTTTAGTACCAGGTATCGAACTCAGGGCCTTGTGCTTGCCAGGTAGGCACTGTGCCACCAAGCTACAATCCTAGCCCTGTAATGTCAGTTATGAGTGGAATTAATTCACCATGAAAATTACCCTGAATTCATTATTGCTATCAGCTGATCTAGTTTCTGTGAAAACATGCAAGATGGGGAGTAATTTGCCACAGAGTATCCACAAATTCTCCGTGACATTTCCAGCCCAGCAATCCTTAGAAAGGCATTAAAGATGCTTACTTGGGAGCAGAGGGGGGAGTAATGGGAATAGAACATAGGGCCTTCTGTATGCTAGCTAGATAAGACCTCCATCAACTTTTACTTTGAGATGGTCTTACTAAGTTGCCTAGGTTGGACTCCTGAATAGCTGGGATTACAGACATGCCCACATTGCCCAGCTAAAAATACTTAAATAATATTTCTTCTGCATGTCCTGGAGTTAACTAAGATAGTAACATAATATACTTAATATACACATCTCAGAAAGCATAAATGACCAAATATTAATATAAAAATAAGTTTGCGGTACTTAGGTGATAGCTAACTTTATGTATCAACTTGACTGGGCTAAAGGATACCCAGGTAGCTGATAAAACATTTATGAGCCAGGTATGGTGACTTGTGCCTATAATCCCAGCACTTGGAAGGCTGAAGCAGGAGGATATTGAGTTCAAGGCAGCCTAGAATACATAGTAGTTCCTCTTGGTTTAAAAAATAAAGTAAGAAATTACCCCTCCTTTCCCTCCCCCTCGCCCATGTCTGAGTACAGGTGTCTCAAATGAGGGTCAGATGCAACTCTGGCCTGATCCTCAAACTGAGTAAAAAAGATTGCCCTCACCATTATGGGTAGGAATCATCCAATTCATTGAGGGCCTAAGTATAGAACAAAAAATGAGGAAGGATCAATTTGCTGTCTGCTGAGTAATACATCTTGTGCCCTCAGACACTGGTTTTCTGTCCTGGAACTGTACCATCAGCTTCCCTAGGTCCCTAGCTTACAGGTAGCAAATTGTACTTCTGTTTAGTCTATAGTTGTTGAGCTAAGCCCTCATAATAAATCTCTGTATCCTTTTGATTCTATTTCTGTGGAGAAAATGTATATATGAGACCCAAGAATGAAGTGATAAATAGTTCAATTTCTACCCTCCATGAGTCCTAAAGAATCTTCAGAAACATTTCAAAATATATAATTAATATAGAAAGGATAGGATACTGTGAATACATGAAAAAGGACACAACGTCATCTCCAAAGGAAAACTGCAAATGAAAAACTATTCTTAATTCCTCAGTTGAATCTTAATTTATTTTCCATTTCCTTCACTTTCTTTATAGATTTATTATCACCAAGGATATATTTACTGCCTTCCTCCTCACTAGAAAATATTATATGAACACATAGGACTAGCTTTATTTTAATTGTATCCCAAGCAACTAGTAGCACTTCTGGTGGTTGTAGCTCCCGTGACTTCTCTTGGGCTGGCTCTGCTTCCTCGCAGTTTTCCTCAGATGATCCACTCCTGGCTTCTCCAACCTTCTGGAGCCTCCAATGCACCTTTGTCTTCACACTGCCATATTCACACACTGCCCTCTCACTGCCTGGCCTTCGAAGCCTTTTTTAATCTGGATAGAAGCCTTCCTGACCCCACAACTCTTGTATTCTACATGCACCTAAAACTAGCACCATGTGGATGATGCCAAGGCCTGCTGCCAGCTGGAGAAGTAGCCAAGCTTCCTCTCTTGTCAAGTGCCTATGAAGCAAATCCCAAGGAAAAACGTTCCTAGGCTGCCACCATTCTGGAACATGGTCCTCTGGAGCTCTCTTCTCAAAGAGAAGTCTTTCACCTTACAAAAGCCAGAGTCCTGCTGGTGCTTGTGGTGTCCTCAGGCCGTCTTTTCTGTTCTATTCCTTCTCAGCAGTCAAGATCTCTTCTGCTCTGTCTTTGCAGTCCACAGCTTTACTGTAGCTTCCATTCGGGCCCAATTCAAAACGTTTTAAATAATTTTTCTGGGCTCTTTGGTCTTGATTCTCAACATAAATTTAGCTAAACAGTCCCAACAGTAGCCATGAACACACATTGTCTGGAGCCCCAACAGCCAATGAAGTCCTACCTCCCAGCAGAAACTTGAGCTTGGTCTTTACTGGCAAAATTTCTATCAGCCTTCTGGTCTTCTGAACTCTGACCAGAATCTCCCATCAAGTACAGCCTCAGGCATTCCAACTCTACTTTTTCAGGGAGCTTGAGCCTTTCCTAACTCTTCCCTTCCCACAAGCCAGTTCCAGAGGCTCTTGAGCCACATGGTCAGATACAGTCACACCAACAACCCCATTCTGTGGTACCAAATTCTGTATTATTTATTCTTGTTGAGACAAAATACCTAACACAAAGCTAAAGGAGGGAAGGTTTTTTTTTTTTTTTGCTCTTTGTAGACGTTTCAGTCTACAATCAGCAGGCTCCAAGGCAGGATGGCCTGGCAATCAGGCAACATAGAGAAAAGAGTTTATGGCAGGCAGAAGGTAGCAAAGCAAGCAAGGAAGGACCACAGTTCTTTCTATCCCTTATACCTTATCCAGGCTACTTAGGATGGGTAGCACTCACATCTGCAATCCAAGCTTCAGCCCCCTCTGAAAAAGCCCCACCTATGACCACATGAGGCTTTGGTGGGACATGGAAGGAGCTGCATGTAGCTTAATATTGGAGAAGAGCATGCAAAAAGGATAAGGGAATGTGTTACAGTTTGGATCTTGAGTATTAAGGTTTGGCTGTAAGCCTTTGGCACCATTGGAAAGTGGTACAACCTTTAGAAAGTGATGGGTCTACAGTGAAAGGAACTAAGGTCATTGAGGGCATGCCCTTAAAAATGATATTAGGAATTTGGTCCCTCTTTGCTTCCTGATGGTCCTGAGGTGAACAGTTCTGCTGTACCACATACCCTGCCATGATATACTGTAGTGCCACAGGCCCCAAAACAACACAGCCAAACTACCATGGACTGAAATCTCTGAAAACTTAAACCATCAGCCAAAGTAAATCTTTCCCCCTTGTAAGTTGATTATCTCAGGTATCTTTTTCCTGTAACAGAAAAGCTAATCCAGGAAGTACAGTAATAAGACTTAACATGGATGGAGAAGTGGCAAACACAATCCAGATCACAAAGGACATTACATGCTAGATCTTGTAGTCTGGATTTTATCACGAGGGTAGGAGAGTGGCATCAGATATTCTTTACAAATTTTTTCCCCAGCTAGAAAGCACCATGTATGAACCATAGAAGTGAGCCCTCACCAAATGCCAAATTTTTTGTAAAGTCCATGCTCTATAAGATTAGAAACATTACTAAAACACTGGCTCTCAAAAACAACTTTGGGGGCCAGGAATTTAGCTCAGCGGCATAGCACCTGCCTGGCAAGCAGCCTAAGGTCCTGAGTTCAATCCCTGGTACCAAAAACAAAAATTTCAGGGGATCAAATGGAGTCTACAAAATCTTAAGAAATATTTTGAGTATACCAAATGTTACCTTAAACATCCCTGAAGTTTAGGCATGACTGGTTTGAAATCTGTAACAACTGAACAGTAATGAAAATCCAAAGCTTTTATCATGATTTTTGCTAATACACAAAGATTATGTCCTCTGGTTCCTAGAGCGCACTGCACCTACTGTGAGAATTTTGTATTACTATACTGACCAGATAGGAAATAGAACAGGTACCATATGACATAGCCAGGAGTTGGAGTTACTGCCCTCAGTTCAAAAATTATGAAGCAAATCTCATTCAGCTGAATACATCAGGTTCTCTAGAGAAAGAAAGGTGATACCAGGCATGGTGGTGCACACCTGTAATCCCAACCCTCAGGCGGTTGAGGCAGGAGGATTGCTGCCACTTTGAGGCCAGCCTGGGCTCTACAGTGAGTTCAAGGACAGCCTGAACTACAAAGTGAGACCTTGTCTCAAAGTCATGTGCTAGATTCTAGTGATATTGTAGTAAGGAAAGTCATTACAGTGCCTTGGCATCAAAGAACTAAGCCATTCAGAGCAAGAAAGTCCTTGGATGATCAGTGCTCAGAAGTAGAGTGCCTTGGACTGAGGATATAGCTCAGTGTTGGACAGCTTGCCTGGCAAGCATGAGCCCCTAGCATGTACATCTATCATCAAGCAAAAGCAGAAGTAGAGCACCTTATAACAATGTAACCAGAACATTGGCCAGTGCAAAGTTTCTTCCAAGAAGCAAACGTTGACCCTAGATGAAGGGCAAGGGATTTAGCTCAGTGGTTCCACTGCCTGCCTTGCAAGTGCAGGGACCCGAATTCTATCCCTGGTACCAAAAAAAAAAAAAAAAAAAAAAAAAAAAGTAAAAAAAAGCTAGGTGGTAGTACACACCTGTAATCCCAACATTGGGAGGCTGAGCAGGAGGGTCTTTGTGAGTTTGAGACCAGCCTGGGCTACATACTGAGTTCCAGATCAGTCTTAACTACATAGTGAGACCCTATCTCAAAAAAAAAAAAAAAAAAAAAAAGTAAAAAAAAGCTAGGTGGTAGTACACACCTGTAATCCCAACATTGGGAGGCTGAGCAGGAGGGTCTTTGTGAGTTTGAGACCAGCCTGGGCTACATACTGAGTTCCAGATCAGTCTTAACTACATAGTGAGACCCTATCTCAAAAAACCAAAAAAAACAAGACTTGTCATGTAGAGGTACAAGATCCCAACAATGAATGTAACTGTACTGTATCCCTCTGTAATCCCAACATTGGGAGGCTGAGCAGGAGGGTCTTTGTGAGTTTGAGACCAGCCTGGGCTACATACTGAGTTCCAGATCAGTCTTAACTACATAGTGAGACCCTATCTCAAAAAACCAAAAAAAACAAGACTTGTCATGTAGAGGTACAAGATCCCAACAATGAATGTAACTGTACTGTATCCCTAAAATGTACCAATAAATTCAATTAAAGCTGAAAAAAAAAAACAAAAAAAGATGAAAAGGAGTTAAGTAAGTTGGTAGGGGAGAGAGGCAATGACAGGAGGTGTTAAGATCATGAAAAGACTTACCTACAGAGTAGAATAATAAAAATGGCGTCACATCAAGTGTACCCAATACATAACCATTCCCTTGCATTTGAACATATCTTCATACTTAGGTCTTCCACGAGCCCTAGGTCCATTTCGGGTATATTTGTGTTGTGACTGTCAGGTGCATGAGTTATCTTTTATGGCTGAAACTATCATGGGTGATGCTGAGGGATTAACCCAGGGCCTTTGCCCCAAATTCATTTTATCTCTCCCCTCCCACTACTGAGACAGTCTTAAACTGACCAGTCTGGGCTAGAACTTGTGATCCTCCTGCTTCTGCCTCGAGCTGAGATTACAGGCGTGTCACCCATCTATTTTATCCCTATTTTACAGTGGGAAAAACAGAGCCCAATAAGTTCAGTGACTTCTTTACTGTCAGGCATCTAGTCAGATAATCACCTCATCATCCTTAGTGCCAAAGGCAGCTGAGAAATTTTCACCAAATGTGCTTTTGCATTGGATGTTTTTCTTCTCCAGAACCTTTCAAGTTCACCTCTTTGCCAGAATGGCCCTCATTTTCTCCACAACCCGACCATTGTTCCCCAATTATTTGTAAAATCTTTCTCAAATGCTAATTCCTCATTTTGGCATTCTCAATCACCACCGCAAAGCTCTGACTCCCCACTACGCCAACCCGCTCCAGTTTCTTTTATTTACCACTTTTATAGACTTTATCCACAAGCAGTCGCCCAGAAAAAACACGCTGCTTTGGACTGAAACTATTGGTGAAACATCATCCCCCACCCCTAGTCAGAGTCCGACACCTCTGTACTCCAGACCTCACGCCAACCTCTAGTTCAGGACGCTAAATCAGGGATGAAGACTCTCCACTCTGCAACGCTAAACTACCGCCAGCTTCCTCTTCTGCTCTGCCCACTTGGGGAATCCTCTTCCGGGTCAAAGGTCGCCATACCCCGCCCCCTTCTCCAAGATGGCGAGCGGCAGTGGTGGGGGTGTTTCGGTGCCCGCGCTGTGGAGTGAAGTGAACCGTTTTGGACAGAACGGCGACTTCACGCGCGCTCTGAAAACCGTCAACAAGAGTAAGTGATGGGGCGGGCGCCGGGGCTGGCCTGGGCGGCAGGACTGTGCCTCCTGTTTTCGGCGCGCGCGACCACCTCGGCTTGAGGCGCGGAAGGGGAGACCCCAGCGTCAGCTGGACTCGTGCCCAAGATCTGCAGGGTGCGGGTTGCAGCCTCTCCACTCCAACAGCCAATTTGGGGTCCTTGGCTGTTTAAAGGCACAAGTACGTTCCCTTTACCCCCGCGGGACACGAGGGAGGGGGGATTAAAAGAGACCGCAGCCCCCAAAGCCTCTTCCAAACTGTTTTGACTCCTGTGCTGCGTTATTTCGCAGATGTATCAGATTGTCTTTTTACGTTCTCTTCTGGTAGAGACCATGACTGTATTGCGGAGGGAAAGTGTTCTCTGGCGGGGCCGAGGGAGGAACCTGCCTGGGACACGTAATTCACACGCTCATGCTGACTAGGTGGAAGGTGTGCAGATGCGACCCGGGGAGAATGGAGGGCTGGTCTATATGTCAGCCATGTCACCCCCACATATGCGATCTCCCGGGTGTTATTTAATCAGAAAAAATGTGTGTGAGAGCACTCGCCTTTGAAATAATGTCTGAAGAAAAGTTGGGCCTTTTTCATTCCTCCTAAAATAATTTACAATTTTAACTGCCTTCAGTGTGGTTTGACTTGTATTTATTTCATCCTTTACATACGTAACTGTAGTGTGGCCGTGTATTTTAATGCTCTCGGTCGTGCTGTGTTCTTTTCTACTGAAGATGCAACCTGTACGTGTTAGATTTGGGCTGTAATTACCAAAGCAGCTTAGCTCAGTAAAGCAGTAGTAGCATAAAAGGTATGGCGGTAACATGCAAGTCTGCGTAATTTTCAACAACCTATTGCTGAGTTAATGTGAAGAGGAGTAATGGTGCGCTTTTAGTCATTTCAGACATTGAGAAAAATACTAATTAGAATTGCTTGATTCCTAAATTTATTTGGGTTAACTTTTAAGACTTGGCTAGGCCTCCAACCAGTATTACATACTTAGTAGCAGTGTAGTGTTTTGCAAGAATACTTTAATTAGCAAAGGCTGTCAATTTGTTCAGCAGTACATATTAATTGGTAGAAATTCTTTTGATTCTCAGGCTGTGAATTGGATTCAGTTGCCCACAAATAAGAGCAACAGTAATCCTAGTCATTTTGACACTGAACAGCTGTTAGCACTGGAACTTGGTCACTTGAGTTCTTACCTGTACTTCTCTTTGGTCACCTTATGGGAAATGGAATTTTGAATGACATTGGCAGCAAGAGAAATTGTGTTTGTATTGTACTTTATAGTGTGTAAGGTTTTCTCCACAATATTCTCTTTTCATGTTCTTGATAACCCTGTAAAATAATTTGTTTTCATACACATTTTGTAGATTAGAAAACAGATTTGGCTGTTAAATATTTTGCTCAAGATCTCAAGGCCGTTAATGGCAAGCTTACATTATTCCTATGTCATTTGCTGCCAAATTTTACGTGAACTTTTTTCTTTCCCTGTGAAGTAATGAAATATGTTGGATGTACTGTGTTTCCTAAAGTAAAAAGGCTGGAGAAATAGCTTCTTTCTTGTTGTATTTCACTGCACTTTTTTGGTACCTGCAGCTTTGGAATCTGTTCCTCACATAAAATCTAATCTATAACTCCATAATGTCATTTAAGTCAAAATGTGGTGGAAATATGTGGGGAGTTTGTTATACTATTTTGACTAATCATTTCTAATGCAATAAAATTAGAAATGAAGCTTTCTGAGGCGGGGATAAGAAAATGCAGTAAAAGTGACTTTCCTAAAATCATTCTTCAGTACTACAGATCAACAAAGATGATGTAACTGCCCTGCACTGTAAAGTGGTCTGCCTTATTCAGAATGGAAGTTTCAAGGAAGCCTTGACTGTCATCAATGCACATACCAAAGTTTTAGCCAAGTAAGTAATTCAGTAAGAAATAACTTTTATTAAAACTATGACCTCTTTGCTGGTTGTTTTTTTGTGGGTTTTTTTGTTTGTTCGTTTGTTTTTGAGACAGGGTCTCATCTCACTAGTAGCTCCAGCTGACCTTGAACTCATGATCCTCCTACCTCAGCCTCCCAAGTGCTGGAGTTGCAGATGTACCCCCTTACACATACGCACATACCTGGCACTATTCACTGATTTTTTTACCTACCTTTCCTTCCGTTTTTCTTTTGCTTGAAACTGGGAGGAGCAACAGTTAAGTTTTGTCCTTTTTGCCTTAGAGACACTATCCTCACACACCCTATCTTCATTTTGAATCAAAAAGGAGGTAAATAGTAGACCTAAATGTAACAAGACTGTAGAGGATATAGGGATAACAACTCAGCATAAGTTTTTTAAACAAAGGAATACAAAAGGTAGAAAGTATAAAGCTGAGATGTATAGGTATAGAGCATTTAAGCATCTATCAGCATCTAAGCATTTGAAAGAGCTTTTTAGGATGGCATGGCAGTCTTACCCGGGCCTCTGTGCCTTAAATGAGTTTGAGGCCAGCCGGGGCTACATAATGAGACCTTGTCTCAAAAAACCAAATCATTTTGAGAATTATTTAGGTAAATATGATTTGAGGCCAAGATCTTTCAGTGAAAGGAGTAATAGTCTTTATATAGCAGTTTTTAAAAATTCACTTATTTCATAGAATATAAACTCATATTCTGAATTGTTACTGTAGTTTGGTCTTTTGTTTTATTTTTGATACTGGGGATTATACCCGAGTTGTTTTATGTTTTTTGTTTTGAATTTGTAAGATCTTATTATGTTGCCCATGCTGAATTCAAACTTGTGATCCTTCTGCCTTAGCCTCCCAGAGTGCTGAAATTATAGGCATGCATCACTACAATTAGCTGTGATTTCCTTTTTATTTGGATTGATCAGTTTATTTTGAGATGGGGTCTCACTGTGTTACCCAGGCTAGGCTTGAACTCCTGGGCTCAGTGATCTTATTTAATCTCCCAAATAGCTGGGACTGCGGTGCATAGCAGTATACTCAGCTCTTTTCTTTACAGTTGTGACTTAGCCCCTGAAGAAATAAGTATCAAGATTAACTTTACAGCATATTTATGTTTTAATGGGATTATGGCTTATAAGATAGAGAATAGTATATAGTATACTTCCTTTTGTAAGAGGAGGAGGCTATAAGATTTACACATCTGCTGTATTTGCAAAAACCCTAGAAGGAGAAACACTGATTAAAAAGTCACTTGTAAAAGATGAGAGAAGCAGATGGGATTAGATATAAAACATTAGTGTCTTTTCGTATTTCTG